AATTACAAAAAAAAAAAAAAACTTGAAAAACCTTAAGCCTTAAAGAACTCCACAGCGTTTGTTGCGGGCTTGGGAACTTTAGAGCGCCGGACGTGGCAGCCTTGAAAAATCACCTTTCACACTGGCCGCAGTTGAACAGAGGCATTGCTACAATTAATAGTTCAATGAACTTCAACTAAAGCGAGCGGATGGAACGGTGGTAGCAACAGCAACAACAACTGAAAAAAAAAAAACAGCGGCAAGCGTTTGGAGTGAGGAAAGAACACAAAGTACCACAGCTAGGCCCGAACCATGGATAATAGCCCAATGGAGCAGTTGGGTATGAAAAAAAAAAGAAAACAACAGAAAAACAGAAAAGCCAGCGGAGAGCGAAGAAAAAACGATAATTAACTTTTTTTAAGTATGCCAACTGAAAGAGGCGCAGTTCGTCAACAAGTTGGCAAGCGACCAACAAATTACAACACATAACTAAAATGCCCGCATGTGTGAGAGACTTCCATGGGAGTACCAGGAATCCGGGTGCCCAGTTGTACAGGGTTGCTCCATTGTAACCACAACACTACCTGACACGAGGGTGTTTCTAGCGACCTTCTAGGGCTTAAGTCTCTTCCGACTTGTCCACTGAACGCTTCAATGATTTCATGCATAAATTTTGTTGCAAATTTTACAGACGCCTCACGAATGCAAGAAAATTCCTGCACGAGTTCTTTGATTACGACAACTCTGCACTTGTCCGCCAACAACAGCACCAGCTCCAGAGAGCTCCACGTTCCACTTCGCTGATCTCGGAAGTGCAGGTAGCGGCGTTTCCTGTTTGCGAGCACATTTTACTAATAACGAGACAACTTTGACAATGAATCAACTAACATATCAATTGTGCGCCTAAGAAGAAGAGTTTAAAAAATGTTTAACTTATTTGCGTAAAAGAATTGTATGTAAGTTACTAAAATTAAAATTGATTTTCTCTAATGCATTTTTAAGTATAATTTTGTAAGTAAAGACATAAAAATATTATACATATAATGGATTTTTTAGTTTAAAGGAACTCCTAAACTTAAAACAAAAGTTGATAACTAAAACAAAATATTCCCATTGAAATAAATAATAAAATATATTTTTTATAATGCATATAAAAAAATCATAATTTTAAACTTTCACATACAAATTGAAATCTAATTTGAAAAGTTACATTACAAAAATTTTTTTATTAAACATATATTCCATGAGATATAAATTTATTAACTTATATTTGATTACTATTTAACTAATTCTCACTTTTTCTAACTCTCACAATAAACGAAGTCTGACTGGAAGAAACATATTTTCCTTAATATTTTTGATACATATATACCGCCTTATTTGAAAAGTTTATAATCCAAACAGGTCGACAAGTTGATAAAAGTAACATTATGAAATTAATATAGTATAACTTTTAAAATGCATTGGCAACTATGGTCTTCCACATTGTAATATTTTTGAGATGCGATCATCTCTACTGCACTTACTTCTAATTTATTTATAAATTCAATTAATAAGAAAAAATGCAAAAGTGTGTGGAGAGAAGTTCAATTTTCGCCCGATCAGCTTTATTATGATGCAAGTTAGAACGTTGCAGTAGGTTGGACTGTTAAATAGTTTTTAAATAATTAAGTCAGTCAAAATGAGGATTCTATCGATCATAAGGAAGAGTCAAATTTGATGACTCTAAAGTGTATACTAAAAACTGGGAAATATAGCTGATCGCAAACATTTTGTTTCACGCGAATATACACGAAACCCGAACCTTAATAGAGTGCAAACAAATTTTACATAATGTAAAGCACACGCGCTTCAATTTAACAATTGTCCAATTTTCCGGCCAACTGGCGATTCGAACTGGCGAACTGGCTGGAGTGTCTAAGCTAGCAGAGATGGAAATATGCTGGCCAACTTGTTGCTGCTCCGTTTAAGGCTATTAAATGACGACAAGCCAAATTGCCAGCCGAATGCTGTCTTCTTGTTGTTAGTGTCACAATATGCTCGACCATTTAGAAAATTACCTTTAATCGCGAAAGTGAGTTGCCTAATTTGAATGGCCCATGGGCCGAGCCCCTACAGACCAAAAAACTGAATTTAAATCTGTGGGAATTGTGGCAATTGGCGAGCTGTTGGCCATTTGAAATCACGCTCCAGATTTGCGCACAACACGGCTTGACCGTTGGGGTCTCGTGTGGGTGGCACTTCTGGCGGAGACGCAGTTGTGCGTTGATAGTTTTTCCTGGCTGGAATGCGGCGCCATTCGCCATGAGAACTGCGGCAGTTCACACAGTCTCAAGCGGGTCGCATTCTGATTGACGTCTAAGCCTAATTATGTAAATTGTAGCAAGACCCGACGAAGAGAGAGAGGGAGAAATAGAGAGAGAGAGAGAGAGGGGGTGAGAAAGAGAAGCAGGGACAAAGAATAGCACGCTTAGGTTTTGATCTATGAGCCTCAATTACGAAGCGGCAAATAAAAACAAAAAGAAATACTTAAGCGCAACTAAAAGCTGCACAAATAAAGCGGAGCTAAACTGTTGCTGATGCGGATGCCGATGCCGTTGCAGTTGCAGTTGCAGTTGCTGCTGCCGGTAAACCTGCCGCCAGCAGTCCGGCTTTTGCAAATGATGATGATGAGGCCACAACCATAGCAACAGTAAGAACTACAATGCCAAAGACATCCATGTGCCATGACAAACGACAAAGTTGTCGTTAGGTCCAAAATTAGAGGCATTTACATGCCGGCAAGCGAAAGACAGAGCCACCAGCTAAAAAAGAGAGACGGCAACAGATATGCACTGCGGGTAAACATTGAGAGTTAAAATTTCAGACGCATCAATGCACCTGGCCAAGATTTGTATTGGCAACGGCCGTGACTGCAACGACGACTGCGACTGCGAGTGCGACTATGGCTTTGGACTATGTAAATATTTTACCAGCAATTTTCAGCTTAAATGCCTTTAAAACGAGCCGTGTCGTATGGGCGATCAGGGTGCTTGAGTTCGGTTTAGTTAGCCTAACTTTAGTTAGCTCTTTGCGTATGAAGCATGCCAAAAGGTTACTTTTCGAAATCAGAATCAAGAGATTAAGGAATAAAGCTATTATTTGCATATTTAGCCAGCGGCTGTCAGAAGATTACTTTAATATAAAGGTTGTAAGCCCAAAAGAATTTGTTGGCGGTTCGGCTGACGGTTTGAACCAATATCTCGGCATAAGATTCGGTTCAAGAGCCGGGTTTCTATATCCTTGAGCCTAGGTTTGGGTTCGGTGAATTTTTTATATTTAAAAAAAAAACATTTACCAATTTCGTTTAAATTCCAAACTTTCCGATCTTATCGATTTTTTTCGTTTACCACATATTTATCTATTTTCAGTAGTGAAGACTAGTTGGGAGAATATTCTCCTTCGATGAAGCGTCGATGTTTTCTCTTTGAGTGTAGGGATTTTCACCTTGTTTTCCAGGCTTATGTTTTTGCTACTGTTCTACTGACCTTTTTATCTTAGTCGTTTTGGATCTGTTCGCATTTCGCACGTTTTCCCCATTGTCGTTAGCTGCTGTTGTTGTTTGTTGCCGAATTTACAATTGCAAAAAAAAAAGAAGTGCGCGCCTACACGTGATTTCACAACAGACACGCATCACATTTAATGAATTTCACTTGAGTGCTTTGCGAAACTTATAAAATACTCTACAAAATACAAATCGGTTATCACACTTTTCCTTAGGAGGCCAACTAAAAGTAGTATCTGTAATACATTAATGTTGCCACCATTTTTTGTATACATCATTGCCAATGTACAAATGAACATAGTGCACATGTTGGTATGAAACAAAAATTGGCAAATGTTTAAAAACAAATTCTTGATGCGAATCCGTTTTTGCAAACATATGGTTTGGGAGCTGCTTCAGCTAATAGAAATAAACATTAACAAATTCTGATTCTTACGGCATATCTAAAATCCATTGAGTAATAAGTAGAAAGGTCTTTTACTCAATGCCTAATGTCAGTGTTTCTGATCAATTTTATCTGCATTGCGAACGATAAATAATAAAAACTAAAATTTCATGAAACTCCCAAAGATTCTCAATAAACTGACTGATTACTAGAATAATTGTTTCTAAGGTCCAGTACCCCGATAATTTTTCAACTTTTCATCAGCCGACTTCTAGTAAAATCCTGGTGTTATGGTAATGCATCATATGCTTTGTCATATTCTATCGCCATATTAACATATAGTCAAATCTTCTTACTGAATAGTTGGTGAACCTTACAGAAACCCGCTAAAATGTAAGATTTATTTTCGAATGGATGTCAATATTACCACAGTCCGTTACAAATACAAATTTAAATTAAATTATATATGACATATAAAAATATATGAGATTTCGTGTCAGTTATCACCACAAGAGAATATGTCCCATATTAAAGTTGTCATATCAACAACTTGGCAATATCAGACAAGGCAATAGCTCAGCCGCTGTGTAAAGTGCACAGCTTGGGGCGTATGTATTTGTTTTTGCGTATTAACATGTATTTAATGGGAAATGCGATGTTTGTTTTGAAAGCTTGGTCCTGTGTACGGGGTATATCTTAGTCGAGCACTCCCGACAGAGCACTTTTACTTGTTTATTTTCACTTGCAAGCTCCCTCTTTACCTCTCTTTGCTTTGGGGGATTTCCAACTAATTAGCAAGCCAAAAACACGTGAAGACTCTCGCTATCGGTTCACAGAGATCAATTCAGCGTTCAAAAACTCAATGCATGCGAAATGAAATGACTAGCTCTGAAAGCTCATACCTAGACCCAGACGTACATACATACATACATATATGTACCCAAATAAACGTATCATATCAACTCTCACTACAGACACAACGTATGTGGAGGCATTGATATTGTTTTTTTTTTTTCGTTTGGCTTGTCCCTGAAATTGTGCAGCAACCCCGCAGATTGTTTCCGTTATGCCGTTGTAAAGCGTATCAATTGATTGAATGCGAAACTCTACTATGAATTTATTAACAATTCAAATTTCGATTTGCAGGAAACTTAAAAGCAGAACAAAAAAACCAGAGGCCATACAGAAATACGATATTTATTTGAGCGACAGTTTGAGAGTTACTGTTGGGTCGGTTTTTGGCGCCGCTAAGAATGCACATCAGAGACTCACACTCAGTCGCTGGAACTCTGCGGTGTGTAAGTGCTGTCTGTTTATGTCTTCGCTAGGTATTTGGCTAAGGTTTTCGTTGTTTTTACTTTGTCTCATCTTTATCCGTCTCACACTTCGCTGAATTGTTGTCAGTTGGCTTTTCCTCTGGGTTTTCACTTTTTTCCGTCACATTTTCCTTTTTGTTAAACAGCTCACATTTCCTCAAATTTTCTTTGTGTTTGTCCAACTTTTCTGCCGATTCGGCATCTTCCGTTTTGTTTGTCTCCTCGCCGGACTCTTGCTCTGCCGCCTCAGATTGCCCATTCGTTGGCAGCACAGCTCTATCCGCTGCTGCTTTGATCATTTCCTTACAGTCGACAGTTGGATCACCTTTATCTATCCCTAGTTTATCTTCACAATCGGTTAAGATTTCGGATATTTTCTTGTCAATTGTAGTTTTAATTTTATCTTCTACTTTCTGTTTTTCATTCGATGTCTTATCTTGATTTAGTTTTGTTAGGTTAAGATCCTTTTCCTCGCACAACTTGTTGGCCATCTGTAACTCGGCCAACTCCTTCTGCTTCTTCTCTATGGAATCACACCAGGCTTTTAGCTTGACATTCTCAATATCCTTTGCCTGAGCAGCGAGCTGTTCTTCGCACTCAGCCTCCTGGCTTTTGATTGATTCTAAGCTGTCGTCAGAGCTGTCTTCTTCATCATCGGGCTCCGTTATTACCTGAACGCCGCCACCGACGCGACGCTCATCTCGCACATCCAGCGACTGACTCTGCAGCACCACAAAGCTGAAGCGATGATAGCCAAAGTAATGGGCATTCTTGTATTCCTTGTTTTTGCCAGCTCCAGGACCAAGGCGTTCTTCCGGACTGCGGAACTGCCGATAGGCTTCTGGGTGTACAAAATCGGACACTTCAATGTCTTCATGATTCACACTATCCGGCGCATAGCCCTCATCGGGCGGGTCCTTGGGCGGACGCGGCGTATTTGAGGGCTTGTTGCTTAATTTTGAGCTTTTCTTGGATTTTCCCTTCGAGGACACGTCGCTCCGAAAGCGTAGCAAAAGCGGTGATCGAATAAACCGTAACATCTTATCATATAAGAAAATATGTAGTATTTTCCCCAAGCTATATTAGTTCAGAAAACTATGGAAAGATAAGGCAAAGTCACCTTTGATTTATGTAGGCAATCTAAAGGTGACGCTTCGTAACAAAAATTCAAGACACGAGAGACCCGATAGGGTTCGTTACACATATGTAGATACACTCATCCATAAGTAACAATATATATTTATAGTCAATCCTCACGAGATCTAAAGGACCAAGCTATGACATCCAAATGTGTGCTGGTGCTTGTGAATGAGCATGCGTGGCATCGATAGCTGGGACGAGTGTGAGTGCCACGCTTTATTTGTGCACTTACTAGGTTTGACGAAGGTGCGTGTCCTCGCTGAATAACCTGTAAATAATGCTCTCACTTTTCTGTTCATCTGTTAACAGGTTTACAATTCTGGCTAAAGCGCCGAATGGTGTGTGTACTGGAAGCGGGTCGAAAACAGAATCTGTTATCGGTAAGAGGCGCTCTTATGAATGCCACTGTGGATATCTGCAGTACTCCAAAAGAGTTTGTGAATGTTCTTTGTAATTCTTTATGATACCAAAATTACATAAGTGCGAAGCTTGAGCTGTCGCTAGCTGGATAATCTATATACCAAATAGTATAAATGAGAGTGAGAGAGGCCAGGGAAACCAATCCGCTAAACTCCCTCGATATCAATTAACATTAATTTTACATAATGTTAGGCCACTAACAATAGATGGCTTATTACAACCAGTAAGCGAAGTACGCAATAAAACTATCGGTGCGCTTTTCTAGTTCCGTGCAATAGATGGCGCTGTCTAAGGTGTGAAACCTGTATTCCAATTATTCGGGGCAGGAAGGCTGTGATTTGAAGATTGGCCTGCCCTCAGACGTTGACCGGTGTGTCGGCTGGCACCAGGCTATAGAACTCATTTCGACTTTTAACATTGAAAAGGAAAGCTTTTAACTAGACAGCACTTAACCTAAGGTTCACAAAGGCTATAGTTTCCACAGTAACTACAAGCTTTCTTAATACCACCGCAAAAATAAACCAGTATATACACCAACTTCTATTCTCAGGCGCCCCAGGCGCCGCAGGCGAAAGTCGGGTGCAACCGATTGCTAAATAATCGTCCGCCTAATTTTCCTATATTCTAGATTTATTAACGCCCTACTGCCGCGATATACACAAGTATATACTCCCAATTACAAGACTCCAAGTTGAAAAATAAATAAAAATTGTAGGTCATACGGACGGACATTGTACAAAACCAATATACTCTTTATATAATTTGTACACAGAGTACTAAACTTGTGGAGAGACTAGTTCGCTGGTTGTTGATGCTTACTAGGATTTACATACTTTATGGGATCGGAAATGGCTCCTTCCATGCGTTACACATATCATAATAAAATGTTACAAAAAAACACCCTATAATACGTAAATATAGTTTAATAGCAAAGAAGGTTGTTTATCCTTAGTCATCCATTCTTAGAGATACCTTTCCGTTCAGCATGAAACATAGTCAGTTTTCTCTATATGTCTTATATATAGGGTCGAGATATATTTTCCTATATCTATCAATATCCTTTATTCTCACTTTTGTATACGCCACTTCCAGTTTAACGCAGCTGTTTGCAAGCTGCCATTGCCTTATCCGTCTTTTTATGGTGAGCTTCCGGCACCTGGACGCAGTTTGGGGCCACTTGCAGCTAAGCAGCTGGCTCAAACAATACGAGAAGGTCAACATTCGCACGCCGAAAGTACGGAAAGCGACACAGTCAAGAGAAGTCTTAACAGTTGGCTTTGGTCTTACAATCCGATATGAGTGTATGTACGTTTCTCGTGGATTTGACAGTGACACTTGCAGCTAACGGGCGAAACTGTTTTGTTGAGTTTTCTATGAGCCGTCAGCCAATTGTCAACTGGCAGCGCCCAAGGAAACTGCCCGACAAGCAGCTGCAGTTCTGATGAATTTTTAAGTGATTTTTTTTCAAGGGGACCTACGCCTTTGGGTCGACAGCTGGCAGCCTGCATGTCAGCTCTGAGCCACTCCTGCTTTTGCTCAAAGCCAAAGAGCGGCTGCCTTAAAGCTACTTTTAAAATAGTTGAGCAGAATTTGTATTAAATATTGCACTGCAGCTTTTATGCGGTTCACAAGCTTTGCGCTCTATTGTAACCCCAAACTGTTTATCTACAGCAAAAATGGGGCTGCTCGACAAGTTTCGTATAAGTTAAGTTAGTTTGAAATATGACAGAGCCTTTTTTATTGTTTTTCCAGAGTCACTGTCGAGAGAAAAGTGACTATCGCGATATATACCTGCCATAGGATTGGTTCAAAGTTATGTTCGGACAAATATATCATATAACGCTGTAGGAAGAATCGGTTGTATATATTATTAATATGACCTTTAAAACCAATTGCAATTATTTCCTGTTGCCTGAAAAGCTTCATATTAATTCAATTTAAATGAGGGGCAGAATCTTCCGAAAATATCGATGGGCAAGACTTTCGATAGAGGTTATAGGGGTAATAGAGCAAAAGTATTATTTTTATTTTTATAAACTTCTTCAGCCTGTGAATTATCAATATTGAACCTTCGAATAATTCATTGATTCATTTCAAATGCCTACATTTAACAGGGACAAGGCAATTCATACTTAATGATGCCAAGCTTACCTCCTATTTCAAGTTGGCAGCTTTGAAGTATTAATTGCTTATTTTTAAATCCATACCTTAAATTAAAACGTATTACCCTAGAAGTATTCTATATATGGTATGGCCTGTCCTGAATCTTCCCTCTTGTTACATTTACAGCTTTTTTATGGCTATACTGTTAACAGCTTTATTTCTACGCCCCACAGCCGAGCAGGTGGAAGTTTGTTTTTAAGTGTCCAGCGTAAACTTCATGGGTGGGATGGATCAACTTTGCTACCACTTGGCCGCATGCTATGTTATTATTAAAAAATTTGTTGCCACTTGCTGCCTCACAGAAAGTTGGTCCAAGGTTTATGGCTCAGTTGCGTACACACGTGTGCGTCATTGGAAGGAGGGAGGGCCATGTGCGGTATCCATAGCCAAGTGTTAAGGTCCATTAAAGGAGACTAGGGTCACTTGGCCAGCAAACCTGTTGCTGCACTTTGAATTTAATAAAGTCGAAACTCTTTATTTTTCACAATCCATACGCGATGCGTTGGTTTTCTTTATTAGCTTTACATTTTTTTTTTGTAAGTTTAATAACGCACTTGGTCTAACTACAAAAGTTACACAAAAACAATTAAGCTTAGGGCTAGAGTTAGGGAGAGACATGCTTGAGCTTGAGCTTGATTGGGTTAGTTCATGGCGAAGTTTTGTTTTTAGGCAAAAAAAAGCAAAGCAAATAGAGAAAGTACCCGTATCCCACATAAGACTAACATAACACAAAAGTTCGCTTAGAGTAAAAAGTGTGTGCTTAAGTTCTAGACATAATCAGTGTTCCATTGCAGATGATTGAGGTCGGTCAAGAATTGAGTTCAGTTGAAGATTGGATTCTGGACTGGTCATGCGTTTACCATTGAGCGCGTCGGTTGCCGTTGCGCTCCGAGCTGATTGAGCGTAGCTCCTCGCTCCCCAGACGCTGTTCCTCTTCACGACGGCTGTCATTTTCCTCGAGACGGTCGAGTTGATACAGCTCGTTGTCCAGCAAACGTCCTCCCTGGGTCCAGCTGATGGAGGCGCCGGCGCGTGCCGCGTTGCCATTGAGGCGTGTCGTGATCAATCCATTCAGGTTAGCCGAATTCAGTAACAGCGGTGAGCCAATGAGCTGTGCCTGCAACGAAGCACTGGACGGATGTGCCAAGATCACGGGCTGGGCGGTGCGCTCGATGTTGAGACGGGCGGTGGGCAACTGGCGCCAGCCATCCAGATCACGTTCCCCAGTCAGCAGAAGGTTAGTTGTTGTTACTGAGGGCAGGCGAGATATCAGAGTCTGCGGATGGGATACAACGTTGGCCTGAACACGTTGACCAAGCAGCTGATTGGAGTTGGGCAACAGCAACGATTGCTGCTGATTGCTGAGACGCTCGAGGAGACGCTGATTTTGGCTTTGGCTCTGGCTAAGACGCCGTTCTTGTTCCCGCTCGCGCAGCTGACGACGCTCCTGATCTCGTTCGCGCTGCTCACGATCGCGCTGCTCTTGCTGGCGCTGCAATTCGCGCAGCTGTTGCTCCTGCTGCTGACGCTGTTGCTCCTGCTGCTGACGTAGCTGGGCCGTTTGCTGCACTTGCTGCTGGAATTGTTCCATCAGCTGTTGGGATTGCAGACGCGCTTGGTTTTCGGATTCACGGCGCGCCTGTGCTTCCAGTTGCAACTGCGACTGCTGTTGGGCATCGGCTATGGCCTGGGCTTCGGCAATGGCGTGGGCTGTGAGGCGTGACTGCAGCTCCTCAATGCTATTGTAACGAGAGGACTTTGATGAAGTAGAGGAGGAGGATGCTTGAGATGTGCTGAGCCGTTCATCCAGACGCTGCTTTGATACGATTGCATTGAAGCCGCTTGCATCATCCGCCGTGTAGTCCACAATGCGTCGCGTGCCGTCCGGCTCGACAAGCGAGTATTGACCCTTAACCAAATCGCCATCGCGCTTCTCCTCCTGTCGCTTCTCGTCCCCAGTCAGCGTATCGCGCACATCGTATGCAAATGTGTATTGTGGACGGCTGTCGTAATCCTCACTGGAGCTAGGCAAAATGGTCGTGGCTTCATCCAAATTGGAGTCATCATTGTTCAAGTCACGCAGCTGCTGCTGTTGTTGTTGGAGACTGCTTGACTTGCTCAATTGGCTGAGTTCGATGGCTCGCAGATAGGACGCACTGGCCACATTCCAGGTCAGAAGGCACACACAGATCAACAGGCAGGTCTGTAAGGCAAGGCACAGCTATATAAATTAGTTGGGTGTTTGTTGCTTTCGGTCAAAGTCTGAAACTTGGCAAGCAAATAAATTAAAATAGCCAATGGATGTTGCCGTTAGATACTTGCTCTTCTTTTTTTAAACTGCCCTGCAGGAAACCTAACTCTCAAGGAACCTACTCTCATCAAAATTAATTGACAGAGGGTTGCTTGAAACTTTTCATGTTTTTTTTATGGGATGTGAAAAAGGATATATTAACTTTCACGGACTTTAAGCGTTTTGATATTTATGTTTACAAACGAATAGAATATTCTTGAGTATATGGTTGAGGACTGTAAACTTGTGAAAATGCAAATCTGTTATCTAAAAACTGTCGGTATTTAAATGTTTTCGTAATATTTATTTGCGCTGGTGATTTCATTAAAGAAAAAAGCATATCAATGCCTATTGTGTACAATATGCAACTGTGTGTATGAAAAGTTTCATTAAGATTCAAAATGATTCTTCCAATGATCAGAATATAATGTAAATGATGTATCTAATTGTATTCAGACTTTACATTTTCGGACCCTCACGTTGGTAAGCGAATCTATACTTCGTTGTTACAGCCACAAACTTTTTATGCCTTTCCATACAAATTGTTTAAGAATTCTTTCGAGTCTTATCGTTTTTTATTTTTGATTATCCTGATTTGTTGCCTGTCTTTGCTTAGATGCGCTTCACGTGGCACCGCAGGCAATCGGCTGCCCTAAAATTTATGGTCAGACACGCTTCGAACTTACCCGTTTCATGATTGGTGACGTGAAGTATTCGACTAGTTATCTGCTTGGTTGTAATTTGTAAAGCTGCTACACGTTTCTTGCTGTGGCACGTTGTGCTACTGATGCCTTACCTGACAGCAGTTGGCCATTTTATACATACTACGTAGCTGCAGAAGAAGTTGGCCCAAAGGGCTCTCGCAAGAACCAGCCCACATTTGATATGCGTAGAGGCTTTCAAATTTGTTTAGTTAAAGTTACAAATGACCTTCCATGTCGGCGATACGCCTGCCTGAATTACAAAGCTGCAACACAGCATTCACTTTTTGGGCCAGCTGGGAGGCAGTGGACGAAATTGTCACCCATTCGCCCACAGAATCGGGACAAGCAGCTTATCAAAATGGAAACAAAATGCGTACAGATATTGGAAATTGCCTAGGAGGGATGCAGAGGGAAAGCAACTGCTAGCTTGTTGCCCAAACGAATTCAAAAGTTTGTAAATGGACCAACACTGACACAGCGTCAGAGACGCAGTGGGACAAAAGACACATGACTCTTCGGATGACACACAAAATGTAATTTGATAGGCCCAAAGCCAAGAGCTGCTAACAATTTTGTGCATTGCTCTTTAATGCAACTGCAACGAAGCAGAAAACCATCAATATAATGAACTAAACAGTTTGTTAAGGGACTTGGAACTTAAAAGAGCTGTTGCTGGAGGGGAACTGAATGTTAAAATATATAAAATCGATAACAAAAAGGGAACTTGCCAGTAAGTAAGAATTGATCGCAACTTCGCACAAGCGCACATGATAATTTGTGTCTTTCTTATAAGTGGCGAGTAATTCGGTTAAAGTTTTTTCTCATTTCAATAGAATGTTGTTAGTTTTAGCCTCTTCCGCCGCTTGATCAGCTTTTTTATTCAAGGCAAGGCAACCAACGATTGCCTTACCAAACTGAAGGCTTTAGGTGCAGAGATCTTAAAAACTCTGCAAGTAGTTCTGCTGGCAGCCATGGACATTATATACCAAGAGTTCTAAAAGGTTAAGGCAGGAACTAACAACGAGGTCGCGCCAAGGACGCGCCAAGGCTCTAATCAATTTGGTTGCAACAGTGCCACTTCGTCTACTGCCCGACACCAATGAGAGGCTTGTCCAAATGGAAATATAAATGCAATTTTAATAAACATTACAAATTTAATGTAATGAGATGACTTACATCGTAAAAGAGGGGGAGTGGTAAATTATTCAGACAATTCCGTGTCAGCGTCTATTTCATTCGCTATTTGGTTTGATAAAATTATCTTGATAAACAAACAAGTTATATTATCATCGTAAACAGGTGACGCATGCTAGGAAAAAACTCGGGTTGCTAGACAAAGAAGAGATGGAAAGTAGCGTGACGACATCTTTAAAGCTGACTAACAGGCTGTTGATGCTGACCAAAATAAGTATATTTACTTGGGTAGAAGATAAAACTCTCTGTGAAGTATTATGAACAAGAAATCTTCATTATCTGCGCCTCATCGAGAGTCTCTTTCTGGATTATAGAGGACATACTCTCTTCTGTACTGTGCTCCCTATAGTCCACAGTCTTCGCATGGGCAGTGCGCAGTCAACATGATTTAGATGCGACATTGTGTGCCTGAAAGCTTTGTCAGCTGTAACATCAGCTACACAGACACAGCAGCAACAATGTCAACATTTGTACTAGCAATGCGTAGAAAATAAAACGGCAACGTAGAAAAAAACAAAAAGGAAACTCCACGAAAAAAAATAAAGAAAAACAAGAGTGCTAAGGTCAAGAGTGTCAGACTAGAGGACACCCTGCACAAAGCGCCGAGATGCTGTCACAAACATTTAAACTGCCTTTTACGCACGCCTATAGTGACTGCCCCAATCATAAATACCTTCGGTACGGAATTTAAATGTGTGCATACTACTATTTTGCAATATACCTCTCATAGTTTCGAGATTAAAATGCTTATAGATACGTAGATACTTACCGACGAACAAAATCTAGCAGATCCAAGAATTCATATACATACTAGTTGGTGAGGTCGGAGAAGCCTCCATTTGTCTGTTACATACGCTTGCACAAAACCAATCTACCCTTTTTTCTCATTTCGATTGGCTACAGGCCGAAAAAACAACAAATGAAAACAAAGGAGGACAACAAGCAAGTGGCTAACTGGCTGGAAAGTAAAAAATTTCATGCATGACTGAAATACAAGAAGAGGCATTGTGTCCCATTGAGGGGCTGTGTGCTTGTTATTCTATCTAGTGCATAGTTTTAGGCACTAGCGCCATGACCAAACGTGGTGTATGTACAACCAAGGGCAGGCGAGAACCAGCCGCATGTGTTGCCATTCCTGGACACTATGCTCCACCATCTGTACACGGTCTGCATGTGTTGCTTGATGCGCGTTTTCGTCTCGTTTTTCGCGCTGTGCAAAATTGAGTTCCCACCGCAACGTAATTAAGTTATGAATGATAGAAACAACCTGCATTCAATTTCAAAGCTATCAAACTACGAATCTTAAAGCTATGCACAGCACGCATAATACAATTAGCTAATTTGTAGCAATTTGGTACAATTGTCCAATTAGTGTTCCAGGATTAATGTTCATTAAATAATCAATTACAATTACCTGTTAATGTGTGCAACATTATAATTTGTTTTTATCGTTTTGATAAGCGGCGGACAAATGAACAATATAAATATTTCTGCTTTAATTGCGTGCAGTAAAAATTGCTTCATTAATAATTTATTATAATTAAACTTTTAACTTTCAAAGTTCATTTAATTTCACCACAGTTAGTCATTCAGTCATTTATATGATAAAAACTTTGAGTGGAATTCGGGCCCAACATATAAAAACAAATAATTCCCTGAAGATTGTTTTTTACATATATCTAATGCTTCACGGTAGTCATGCCAATCATCAACACATCCATCAAATTTCAAACTTTTTTTTTCTTATTTTGCTCTTAATGTGTCCACTGATAATAACTATTCCCAACTCTGCACCGATCTACAAATTTGCCAATTTGATGGGGATAAATAAACTTATAAACTGTTTACAGAAGTAAAATATGGCAAACAAAGAAATGCAGCCGAGATGCCAAGATTATGACCAGAATTGTGTGTGCTTGTCCAGTTGGCCCCTTGGGTCATGAACGTTTTACAATTTCGCAAACAATTTTAGACCAAACTGAAAGCAATTTAATCTGTGGCTAGCTGGAAACTGTTGGTAGCTCAGTGGTGTCACGAAATCTTGATGCACAGATTGAGTTGGGCTGCGTTGATTTTCGACGGACACGAAACAGAGATAGAGATAGTTGGAATAGGTGAGTTTGGCCCGGTTGACTGTTTCAATTTATTTTTCATTCTTCTGTGTGCTTTGACGTTTTTGTTTTTGTTTTAGTTTTCTATTTTGCTATGAAACACCCTCGGCTCGCGTACAAAATGCGAAAAGTTAAAACAAATATACACACACAGTGGCAGGGCATGCGTCAGGAAGCACTTGCAACAGTATGCCAACAATATTTTTGCCTTCTGTGTGCTTTGTGCTGTTAAAAAGGAAATAAATGAATGGCAAGCAAAAAAGTTAAATCACCTCGAGCGCGGTCGCGCCTATGCTGAGCTTGGCAGCATTGTGTATTGCGCACTCCCACCTCACCACGCGGCGTATACGCAATATTCGCGCTTAATGCTACCGAAGCCAGTTGCTGAGCTGTGTTCTTTGGTTAGATTCAAAACTCGTCACAATTTCAATTTGTGTATTTCTGCTGTTTGGTTTTCTCTTTCGTTTTTCCATTTGCCATCTAAATGGGATTCACAAATGCCACTAAAATATGAGCACTTTAAAGATTCTGAAATGTAAATTTAAAATTATAGTTATCCTCGATGATTCGGATGCCGACTCGATCGCCATCCAAGGGGTTGTGCCACATATTATCAGTATCCCTGAATTATCCATATAATATGTACGCTGGCAAGGCAACTGATATTTTTTGAAATTTTTAACGGACAACCTTTGCAACCGAAAAGCACCTGAATATTGGTGCGTTTTCATAGAAAAGCGTTCGTCCAGAATACAATTTTATATTGCTCAACTTCCTGCAGTTTGTAGTATAACAGCATGCAATTTATTGGTAAAACCAAAAAAAAGTTAAAGTGCTTTTGTTGGGAGTGACCGAAAAAGAATTACCCAGGACAGCGGTGCTAGATGCCGTCACAAGCATTCGAACTTCCTTTTGCACATACACAATGATACAACACAGATGCAACGAATGTACTTCGTCTCCCCTGAGCTCGGTTCTATAAAGGTATCCAACAGAACACAATTTCAATGGGTTCATGTATCTTCTAGTTTGGTGTGTCTAGTTTTAACTAGTTCTTTGTAGGAGGCGAGGGCACAGGTACCTATACACCTATACAGCACCTATACAGAGTGCTCTAGTCGGGAGTGCCTGACTAGGAGATATCCTCAACCATCTTCTACCAAAGTTTGGATCGTCAAAGGATGTGCCTTTTGCCTATTACATAAATTTAGCACAAAACCAAATTTTTAAAACCTAAGAGATTTACTCGAAAAACCGAATTACGGTATCGATATTGTGTTGACTGATTGTTGTTGATAAGACATGGAGCTAATGGACATTAATAAACATCGAGCTTGGTCAAAACAAGTCGATAAGCAAATTGTTCTTTTGGCAACTATTTGATAGTTTAATAACGATAGCTTTTAAGTTGAGAGACATGACTATATCCACTCGGCTCTACACACTTTATGACGAAATTCTAATTCGGTTCGACTATAAATTACTTTAAATTGAGCGCCCAGCTGCCGGTACAAACATTTTAGCTGCTTTCTATGCATTCAAATATCAATTACGCCGCTTACTGCGCATTTTACTCTGCTGCTGCGCTTCTTTTTACCATAGCCCCACAATATGGTAAATTCATTCTTGAAAAACATTGGGTTAGATTGTCCAATCTTCCTAGCATTAGATCGACTCGGCTACTGT